CGTTTGCCTTGACCTCATGAAGCGTTTCCTGAGGATAATGCTTATCTCAGTGTTGTGCTTTTTTGTGTTTGGAAATGCTACCTTTGTTATTCCTTGCTCTGGGTTTTCCCATCCCATAGACATGGGCCAGGGATCCTGTGGTAGGAGGAGAATCCGTCAACAATATTTGAGGCCCTCCACTTCTTCATAATGTTGATCTTGGTTTGTCAAGTTCAACATATGCAGGAGGTAATGATTAGCACAGGCTGTTTTGGAAGTACTCCTTTGGGAGACTGCAGGGTATTCCTAGAGGCAATCTCTAGTCAATTATCGTTACACAGCCATCCTCAAGAGTAGAACAGTCTTCTGAAATTGCACCTGAGAGAATCTGAAAAGGAGGATTTAACGGTGAGTATGAAGTTAGCTGGTTTTGTTTTGGCTGTGTTATTTCAGCTGAGGAAACAAAGAGGAGATCTCAAACCATATAGCATAACTGTTGTCCAGTGGTCGATGAAGTCTTCCCAGTAAATTGTCCCTCCTTAGCAGGTTTAATAACGAAGCAAAAGTCATAGCACAGCTAATGACTGGACAGTTTCCTGCCTAGATTAACTTAACTCTGAAGATAAGAGCCGAAGAGCCAGTGGTTACATTAGTGGCTTGTGGAATATGGGGAATTGTGCTCGGCCATGAAGTATACCAGCTCTGGAAGTTCACATTCTTTCAGTCTACTCTTCACAGAAAGGTAGTAAGGATACAAGGAGAGTACTTTATTTTTGTTGCCCTGTGCTTTGCGGCAGAAGAGTCTGACACAAATGTGATAAATAACAAAATCTAAAGTAATGTCATTTGTAACTGGGATGAGAGACCCTGTATTGAGGCTTTCATTTTTTCCCCAACTGTGACTTGAATCTTGACGTTTGAGAGACGTAAGATGGTTTATTACTTTCCATATGGCTTTCTGTGGTATTTTCATCTGACTATTTCAGCTGAGGAAACAAAGAGGAGATCTCAAACGATGTAGCTTAACTGCTGTCCGGTGTGTAACCTTCATGCCTTTTACTCTCTACACTTCCCATTTTGGCTGGCTCTGAATGATTCCCATGAGGATTTCTTCGTCCTTTAATAGTTCAGTCATCCTCCCCTCTAACCCTCTCCCCTATGGTGGTTTCGACAATGTGAGAATACTTTTTTTCCTCGTTTTTTAAAAGAGTTTTCTTTCTCTTTACATGACTACTTCAAAATTCTTTGGGTTTAAAAGGAAAAACTAACTTTGACTGGGTCTCTCTGTCTTCTCCTTTCTGCATCCCACCTTTCCCTCCTTCCCCAGATCTTGCAGTATTCAAGGAGCGGCTGAGAGTGCTAACAGTAGGAGGTATGCAAATAATGGGCTTCTAACCCTTCTGGAGATTAGGACTCTCCTCTGAATAGTTGACTCTGGGCACAGTAGAAGTTCCGGTAAAGTTATAGCTTGCCCATATTATGGACAATGGGTGTCCCTGCCCCCGTATCCCGTTTTCCCCCAGCATGATTCTAAATGTTGTGAGTGAAATGGATACGTGTGTTCAAAGTGCTTCATCAGTCACGCTCTTAAGATTTTGTACCCTCACATTTGCATTGAGAGTGGTAGCCATTTTTCTTATTGTTTGCTTGCTCTGGTTTTATTTGTAGTGATTTTATTGTGTGTTCTGTACTTTATTTTGGTTATGAGCTGCTCTGAACAGTTTAGCTTGGAAAAGCTGGGTAGATACGTTTCTGGGTGAATGGAGGAATAAACATGATCATTGCATTAAGGAGTTTAAAGAATCTGCCAACACAACTGTGATTGGATGTTCCTCTGCAAACACATCCAGGTGCAGTAAAATTTAGGCTCAGTTGTGTGAGTTAACTTGTTTTATTGTGCACAAGTAAAAATGTTCCATCTCAAATTTCTAACTTGATTTAGGCAAAGGCGTCATGGCATCCATATCAGTGGGTTGCAGTGCAATCCTAAACAGAGTTACACCCTCCCGAGCCCATTGAAGTCACTGTGCTCCAAAGGGGGTAACAATGCTTAGGACTGAATGGTGATTTTTCTGCATGGCTAAGTAGTTAGCATCCCTCATGTAGTCTTGGATAGAGCAGTTTCAGAAAAGGTCCTGTGAATGAAAGGGGCAGTATTAGGGGAAAATAATGTCCTTTTTAGGAAACAAGGAACCTGAGCATGATCTGTAATGCATAAAATTTAACATCTTCTTTCTGTTAGGCTAGTTATGTTGTAATAGACACAGCTGGTAAATGGAAAGCGAAGGACATTAAGATAATTCTTCCTTGAAGCTCCCCTGAGAATGCATATTTAGTATTGCCCCATGACCTTGATCTGGTTTGGCGGTGTGAGATCTCAGCAGCTGATCTGTTCACCCAGTAATTTGAGTTTTGATGTCCCTTATTACCACATTTCTAAAGATTCTGAACATAGCAAATGATCTGGGCTTTTTAAACAAGGTCTGAAATTAGATCATAAAGAGGACTTCTGTAGTGCGGCAGCCACCAGAAAATTCTGGAGTTAAATGGAGAGGTGAAGGCCGCTGGAAAGCAGACAGCTGCTACAGCAGCTCTTTTGTGCAGGTTGTGCATGCCTCCACTCACTCTACCTAACTGCTCTAAGCTTTTTAATTTAATTTTAAAAACCCTTTAATTTAATTTTTTTTAAAAAAAACCTGCAAACTTTTTCCCCCTTGCTGCCTGGGCATCTTTAGCATAGGAGGGTTGATTGACACACTGTTGAGTGAGAGCTACAACATTTGCCTTCACACCAGCCTAATCTTCTGCCTTTGGCATTAGCAAAGTGACATTTGTTTCAAGGTTTGTTGCTTTGCAAGGCAGTATGAATTAAATGTACTTGAGCAAGAGCTTCAAGAAAAACAGCCGACCCTGCACCAGTCTGTGAGGGGGTACAAAGAGACCACCACGTTTGATGAGTGGCTCTGGAGGAATCCAGTAAGGAATAGACAAAACAATTATGTAGTTCATAAAGAGTTAATGTTTGAAGGAGGAGCTATCTGCCTCCTTGTGGAGTCTGGGAGGAAGAACAATCAAGGCACTTGGAAAGGTCTTTGGGCTTGATTTGCCTATAAAACTATTAAAACAGTGTATTAATGAAACAGTCTGGTTTCCTTCATAAGAGGCTGGGGTCAGTTCTTCAGGGAACCAGGAGGACATTTTTGAAGTCCGTTTCAACTGTGGGCTCCGAGTCCACCGCCAGTAGCATGTGTTTGTTTTGTGCTGCAGCCTCTGTCTAGGAACTCAGATTGTTTCACACCTAACTTTCACATTTAAGAGATTATAAAAACCCTGTAAAGTGCAGCATGACCATGTGTTTGTCATGGATCCATGCACAGAATTTCCTAAAGAATTAGGACTCCTTTTAAGCAACATTTCTAGTATGTGTATCCTCCTATTAAGTCCTGTTTTGCTGTTAAAGCTTTACATTTTAAAGAAGGACATTAACCTTGAGAATAAAATGCAAGAGAGGCCCGCAGAGCTGATTAGCACAATATAGTCCAACTTTAAACAACTAAGTTTCTAACAATAATGTTTGGTCTTTTGGAGCCAAAAATCTGCATCATAGAAGAATTTGTGTTCTAGATTTAAACTACCAGTTTTAAAGCTAGGAAATTCCAAGCCCACGGTTGAGCTCTGTAAATAAGGGTATGAAAATTAATTACACCTCAGGCATTTTTTATGGATAAATATTTAAAGTACATGGCCCACCACTCCTCACAAAGATAGAGTACAGTACACACAGTGGGACTTCTGACAGAAATCTAGTCTCTGTCTGAGTTTGTCCTCTTCCCACAGTGTTTATTCAGACTTCCCCTCTTTCTCTTTTTCTACCCCCCTCGCCTTCACAGAATTGACTGCTGCTGAGGGAGGATGGGAATGAAATGAAATGTCTGACTAAATAATACGGGCTAAGTTGAAGAGCTCATTGCAGTTTTTGACAGATGCTGTATAGAGTTCTGTCTCTGCCTGTTCCAAAAAAAACCCCCAGTTGTATACTTCAGTCAGGAACAGAGTTTCCAGAGGGAAATCATTTTTGTGTGTGAGCAAACGGCTTGCTATAAGTAGTGGACTGCCCATAAGCCATTGGTCTATATCAGCTGCCAGGAGGACTCGTTAGATGTCAAGCAAATAACTGCCAAGGAGGCTGTCTTGAATGCTGCAAAGTTCTTGTCGAGGTGCTGTGTTGTCACACCACTCGCGCTAGCTGAGGTAGCTCTTTATAGAAACTTTTTTTGCCCTCCAAGCAGCCTTGTTGCCTTCAGGTGAAATACCTATGTGTTACTATATTTGAGCATCATCTCCTGGAATATTGGTGGTAACATGAAGTTCCTGGTGTGTTGTGCAGTAAATGTGGCCTTAGAAATGAGTTTGAAGTGAGCTGTTGGACAGTTTCTAGGAAGTAACCCTTTGTCAGGCCTATAGAAGGTGCTTTGTTGTTTGCAGAGAGTCTGATTTTACTGTGCATCTTAGTTCCCCGGGATGAGCTATTCAGGAGAGTCCTCTGCAGAACCCTGAAGCTGCCTGCTTTTCTAGCTTTGGATCTGGGAATTGGTCATTTCTTATTTCTTGTTTCAGTTTTCCTTTTAATTCTGAACATATGGGAAATGTGGTGAAATGTATGTTCTCTGTATTATTTTTTCCCATTTTTGTTTTTCTCCTCATATTCTGGTTTGTATGTATGTGGGTCTGAAATTTGTATTGATTCCTCCATCAGATTTAATTACCAGTTTTCATGGCAAGTGTATTTATTTGTGTTTATATCCTGCGTGCCTCATAAGTAACCTTTTTTGTTCCTGCTCTACCTGTCCATTGTTTAATTGCTGCTTGGTTTTAATTCACGTAAACCTTCCCCATGCTTATTTTGTGCTGCTTTCTCATCCCTCCCTCTCCTCACAAAAACCTGGTTCCTGTACTGCTGTCTGCATCCAACACCCTCCCCTGCTCCTTCTCTGCTTCTCCTACCCACGAAAATCCTGCAGGGTTTTATGGACTGGCTGAATCGGACCTCGACAAGGTCTTTCACTTGCCTACTACCACTTTCATTGGAGGAAATGAGTCTGCTCTTCCTCTGCGGGAAATCATCCACCGTTTAGAGGTAAGACAACTGCAAAGAGTATTGGAGTACTGCGTGGAGTGATGAGAAGCATTGGAAGGAAACTACCTATTATGCGTTAGAATTTGAGTGGGTTACATCCAAATGAGAAAGCAAAGTTATTCTTGAACCCTAAATCATGTTTTTCTCTAGCTTGGCTACTGTTGTTTTTTTCTAACGTGATGTTTAAAAAAGCCAGAAAACTTTCTTCAAGGACATGAGCTGTAAGTTCTCGTTCATGTAGAGACTAAGAAAAAAAACTGAGCTTTAAGAATGAAGGCTGGTAATCATGTGAAATCGGTCTGTGCACAAGTCAAGTGTCCATCACCGCTTGCACCTGACTTCCCAAGTTCTGCCATGCATGCATTTCCCACGTAGATAACTTTTGAGAAAAACAAGTATGGAGCCACTCTCAGTGAGACACCTTCTGAAGCAATGCTGCAATCATTAGAAGCAAGGTTTCCATCAGTTGTGATGACTAATTCTCGTTTGGCCTGTGAGCCCAGGCAAGTTGATGCACAAGCTGTTCCACTAGCAGTTTGCTGTGAGCCCTTTATAGGGGTTAAAAAAGCCAAACGGACACTGGTGGCAGTATTGCTGCTGGTGACAGGTGCTGCTTCTGGAGGCTGTGGTGGAGGCAGGCTTCTGTCGGAGCGAGCTGCCTGGGGAATGCTGTGGAAGCCCACAGACTGATGCACCTGCTAGTTCCAGATTTGCACACCCTCTTAATGTGGAATACAAAGTCCACTTTCAAAACGTGAGCTTGAAAACCTATGCAAATTCTTTTTAGGGAAGGTAGGTAAGGTCCCATCATGCATAACTTGTCTCTTCGGAAGCTCTTTCTGAGAAACCCTGTGGTAGGGAATTGGGTCCCAGGGCAGGTCATCACTGTGCAGCTGTTGAAGTCCTGTGATCCTGGGAAGGCCAGCCACTATGCAGGAATAATTGCAGCCCTGTGCCTGGGTAGCACCACTGGGCCACCTGGGAATCATAGAATCATAGAGTTGGAAGGGATCTCCAGGGTCATCTAGTCCAACCCACTGCACAATGCAGGAAATTCACAAATACTTCCCCCTCTACACCCGCAGTGACCAGTGTTCCATGCCCAGAAGATGACAAAAATCTCCAGGATCCCTGGCCAAACTGGCCTGGAAAAAAATTGCTCCCTGACCCCAAAGTGGCGATCAGCATTTCCCTGGGCGTGTAAGAAAGGGCCACAAGAACTAAGCACTGAGGCAATCCTTCCTGCCCTCCCTCTCATGATCTGCCTAAATTCACAGAATCAGCATTGATGTCAGATGGCTATCTAGCCTCTGTTTGAAAACCTCCAAAGAAGGAGAGCCCACCACCTCCCGAGGAAGCCTGTTCCACGCTCTGACTGTCAGGAAGTTCTTCCTAATGTTTAGCCAAAAACTCTTTTGATTTAATTTCAGCCCATTGGTTCTGGTCTGACCTTCTGGGGCAACAGAAAACAACTCCGTACCATCCTCTATATGACAGCCCTTCAAGTACTTGAAGATGGTTAGCATATCACCTCTCAGTCTTCTCCTCTCCAGGCTAAACATACCCAGCTCCTTCAACCTTTCCTCATAGGACTTGGTCTCCAGACCCACCTACCCTACCTTGGCATAAAAATAAGTGCCGTCAAGTCGCAACTGACTTACAACAACCCCTCATGGGGTTCTCAGGGCAAGAGATGAGCAGAGGTCTTTTGCCATTGCCTTCCACTGCATAGCTGGACTTCCTTGGAGGTCTCCCATCTAAGCACTAACCATGGCTGACTCTGCTTAACTTCCACACTCTGATGAGATCGGGCTAGTCCAGGCTATTCAGGCTGCTACCTTCCCTTGGCACTCATACCACCTGTTGAGGAAGAGATAGTGGCTCCTCCACCAGGTAGTCGGAAGGCAAGGCGTGGGTTGCCGCTGCTAATTACCCATACAGTGGCCATCAGGAGCCACCACTTGCTTGCCTTTCTCTGTCTCTCTGTGTCAAAATCTAGGAAGAGGCCCACAGGGCAGCATCTTGCCAAGGGCGCCCAGAACCTAAAACTAACCTTGTTTCAGAAGGGAACTGAAACAGCCCTGGACTAAAGGGGAAGAATGGGACCCATGAGCCAATAACTGCAGGATTCTAGAAAGTATATAAATACAGAAGCTAAAGGTTTTAGTGGCCATTCCTGATAGATGCAGAAGTCTCCTTTTCCCAGCAGCCACGGGGTTTCTTTTGCCACTGTGGTTGCATCGGGCTCAGCAATGCAGGAGAACAGGTGCTGCTGACTCAAAAAGGTGGGGGGGAGGGAACGTGACGAAATCTCAAGGACACTGATAACACCGTCCACAGGCTTTGCTGTAACTTAGAACGCAACAAACTGAGAATGGCCCCCCCCGGTCTATCTTGACATCTCAGCATAGTTCGTTCTTTTATTGTCAGCTGCCTTTTAGGCTTTAGTCAATGACAGGGTTCTAATTCACATGCTTAATGCCGCCTTCCTTTCTGGTAAAGGAAACAGAATTTTGTGTCCTCTGCCTTCATTGGCTCCGAGTGTCATTACTGTGTCTAAAAATAATTCCCAGCAAGGCTGCTTAAAGGCCAGCCTTGTCACCCTTTGCCAAACATTCTTTTTCTCCTCTGCTTACATCTCCTGCAGTGTCCCCATGTGGGTTCAGAGTCTGAACACAACTGATCTTAATGCGCAGCTAGCATGACCATTCCTATGGAGTCTTTGCTCAGTGGTTTTTTCCTTCAGGGAACGCTTTCCACATTAACCTTTCTCCCTGCCCCACACCCTGCACGCACACCCTGTGGTGTAGACCAGGGGTCCCCATCGTGGTGCCCATGGGCAGCATGGCGCCTGCCAACACCTTTCCTGGCACCCTGCCAAGCGCTTTTAGAAAGTGGGAGGGACTAGGTGTGGCTTTTTCCCAGCAGGGCTTCTGACTGGCTGTGCAGATTAGAAGGCGTCCTGTTAAACAGAACTTCTGCCTGAAATGTCCAAGAGTTTCTATTAAGAGTTATACCTAACCTTCGCTCCGTGACATTTTGCGGTTGGCTTCACCTCCTGCGGCAGCCATTTTGTGACTGTGCCCGCCTGCCTGTGTCAGAATTCCAAAGGTGCCCGCATGCACAAAAAGGCTGGGGACCCCTGGTGTAGAGCAGGGGTGGCCAAGCTTGCTTAACGTAACAGCCACATAGAATAAACGTCATAGGATTGAGAGCCGCAAGACATGAACAAATATTGCACACACATTTTTATTGGAAAATATGCAAATTTGCTTTTTATTAACATTAAATTAGACTGTGTGAAAGAGCCACATGCAGCTCCCAAGCTGCAGTTTGGCCACCCCTGGTGTAGAGTGCTGTAAGGTGCACACTCAAGGCACTGCCCAGATCTGTTGGGTCTCATGTAAACTAGATATGCTTCAGAACACACTCAGTCCCCTGCAGCACCACACTGAAAAGAGGAGGGTGGTGAGGGGCAGGGCATATTTCAGGAAGGCTTAGCTGCTGTTTCTTGTCTTACTGAGGAGAACTGGATTAGTTTCCAAGGAATGCCAGTATTCCCTAAAACATGTTGGAACATTGCTACCCTTAATGGAAGACTTCAGTGATGCAAAACTTTGTTTTTCAGTCTCAGAATTGGGTTCAGGTGCAGTGAGAGACTGAAAATGACTAATGGCTTCAACATGACCCTATCTTTATGTGGAAGTAAGCCTGATTGACATTAGTGGGACTTACTTCCAAGTAAACATGGTTATGACTAAGCAGCAAGTAACCGTGTGATGCAGTGGATAGTGGGTTGGGTGTGAATTGGTGCTCAAGAGGTTTAAATCCCTGCTCAGCCAAAGCTTAAGGTAAAGGTAAAGGTTCCCTTGCTCGAAAGCCAGTCGAATCCAACTCTAGGGTTGCGGTGCTCATCTCCGTTTCAAAGCCGAAGAGCCAGCGCTGTCCGAAGACGTTTCCGTGGTCATGTGGCTGGCATGACTAAACACCAAGGCGCACGGAACGCTGTAACCTTCCCACTGAAGTGGTCCCTATTTATCTACTTGCAATTTCTTGCTTTCGAACTGCTAGGTTGGCAGGAGCTGGAACTAGAGATGGGAGCTCACTCCATCATGCGGCACACTCGGGTCTCGAACCGCTGAACTACTGACCTTCCAAGCCTGCAGTTCAGCATCTTAACCACTTGAGCTTACTAGATGGCTTTTATAAAGCTCATTGAGCTCTGTGATAACAAAATGGTTCAGGAGGGCACTTTTATGAAAGGAACGGGGCTGTGAGCTATGCCACAGTGTTTAGTATGTATTATCTGTTTGTTTATATACATTATCACGCTCTCAGTGCTGTGTTTTAGTCTTCTATAATGCCATTTTCTGCATTGTTTGACATAATCGTGTCTAATTCTTTATATGCTTTGTTTCAAACTTACGTAATTCTAGTCCTATTACACTTCTTATTAGCTATCTTATCCTATTAATTGCATTTACTTGCACTGTATAATCTGCCTTGAGTCGCAGTGAGAAAGGCAATTATAAATAAATAAATGGCTTTAGGCCCCTTTCTCCGTCTTGTCTACTTCTGGATAGAATGGGATAAACCAGTTTGTATTGTCCTGTGGTGTGTGGCGGAAGGGCGAGATCTATCAATACATGACACATTTTACTATTGGCTCATACAGCTACATGTTTGTGTTGTGGATGATCACATTTTTATCTTAATCTTGTGTCCTTTTTGTCTGTGTTTAAATAGATGGCTTACTGTCAGCACATTGGTGTAGAATTCATGTTTATCAATGACCTGGAGCAGTGCCAATGGATAAGACAGAAATTTGAGACGCCAGGCATCATGCAGTTCACTAATGAGGAGAAACGTACCCTGCTGGCTAGACTAGTCCGGTCAACCAGGTACTTTGTGTTTCTTCACCCTGGTCCAGTGTAGTTTGTTAGCATTGTCAGTAGCGTGTATGGTGCCCGTATGTGTTAATTTGGCTTTCTTAGATGTAGGGGTTTTTCTTGACCCAAAACCTCTTAGCCTTAAAGCTTCACAGCCACATACCTTAAAAAGACACAGATAAAGCAGAAATAAGGAGCCAAGGTTCATGGTCCCCAAAGGACCATCTCCAGGAAACCAGGTATTAGAGATGTGGTACTCTCAACCAATTGGGATGCAGAGATGCAGGTCCAAACTGTATTCATTCCCTGGAAGAATGCCACTGCTATGTACAGCATGTGTCTTTTTCTGCTAAAAGCAGGTAACTGTGTCTCCTCCCAAGTTGGGGGGGGGAGAGATAAAGGGAACACCTAGAAGTCCCATGTTGTGTAGAGCTTTGTGTGGGTCTGGTGGTTAAATGAATATTATTTTCCGCACATTCATCACATTAAGTGAAAATTTCAGCTTTGCTAGCCACCACTCCACTGTCTTTTTCTGGCACTGCCTTTTTTCCGACTGCAGGAACTGGGACTCAAGTTTGTTAGCATCTTCTGCTCTACTTATGTCATCCTCAGTATATAATGAATATGGCAAAATGGTTGTAAACTTGTCCCACACAGTGGGGGTGGTGGGGAATGTTACAAAGAGGCCAGTTCAAAACAAGGTCCAATCTAAAGAGTAGTCAGCTCACTTAGAGAGGGTGTGAGACACTCCCCAATGCTGACGGGCAAAATGTAAAAATTAGTTTAGGATGAGATAAAGAGATGCAATAGAAGTACAGGGGGGTTTCTTTTGTGCATGTTTGTGTGTTTGCTTTTGTAGACTCTGCAGAAACATGTGGAATGGAGCCAGCAGGGTTACACTGTATTTTTACTTTATATATATCTATATATGAGATAAGATTAGTCACTGCTGGACTGAATTTTTGCTAGTACAAGCGGGAAGTCCACTTTTAAAAATGTATCCAGGAAAGCCCTGAGGTGTTGGCTTGCCTCAATTTAGGAAAGCCCTGAGGTGTTGGCTTGCCTCAGTTTACATATGTGCAATTGCCATAATCTGTCATCTCCTGTTCATCTCTAGAGATGACGTGCAGAACTCCATGCTGTTCTTATTCTGGCCTCCTTGTGTCCTGGCCTCCCTTGTACTTCCTCCAGGCTATTCTGAGATATCCAGAAGGCTATAATCATGATTTACTGCTTGGTGCTCTTTTTCTTAAACTCCCTTTCTTTTGAAAATGCAGCTTGCTGTGCCGTGACTAGGAGTTGCTGCTTCCTTCTGAGACTGATGCTTTTTCGTCTCTCTGTCTAGGCAGTCTAGCAAACATTCTTCCTTCCTTGTCACTTGCAACATGTTTGCAACATGTTGTGTGTCCACATTCATAATTGTACTGGTGTACCTTCCCCAGGAGGCACAGGCTGGGGTTCCAGAGAGTAGGTTTACTAAAGTCCGAGCGATTTGGCTACTGGGTAAATTACTTGGCTCTGGAGCCCTCCTTCCTGAGCTGAGCCGAAAAGGTGGGAGC